ATTCTAATTTTTTATTATACTTGCTTACCAAGGAATTCTAGGATATTCTAGGCAAGTAATTCTAGATTCTTCTAAAAATGAGCATCATTAAATTTATCAAAAAAAGACCTAATTTAATACATACTGAAGAGGCTAAGGAGCTCTATGATCTAGTTTGACGAATCCTGCAATTAACGGTACTCGACATTGAGTTAAAATCTTGTAAAAATTACACCTTCCATTTTGACAATATTGTGATCTTTGTCCAAATTTCAGTGAGAGCCCAAAAACCCTGAATTCTCTAAAAGGCAAATTCAGATCATATTGCGAGAGTCCATTCAAAGTTGTCAAATTTCTATTTCCATTTTCCATTTTTGTAGATTTTGAAATGAAAACAAAAATAAACATGGATTATATATATATAGACCCAGACGATTCAAGAAACTTGTGGGAATTCAAGTAGTTTGAAAATGTAGTAAATGATCATTGAAGGAAAATCCATCGGTGTTGGCTCACAATGTTACCATTAGACATTGAGATGGAAATCAATATGCTGGTAATTTAAATTGAAATACCGATAGCTATATCATTTTGATGATCATTGATTTACCTCTACCAATACTTGTTGATGACATTATCGTCTATGTCGTTGCAACCACCGACAATGCTTCAGCTGTTGGTAAAAGACGTTGGTAGCAAAATTTTGTATATTTAAATAATTTTTTGGAATTTTTATAAGTTACTAACATTAAGTTCAAATATCATTTTTTCCTCAATGATTTTTTCGACAAATAAGTTTTTTTTTTTTAACTACTAATTTATTTTATATTGAATTTATGTTAGTCTTTTTTTTTTATATAATTTTTTATTGACAAAATTTTGTTAGTAAATTAAATTGATTAAACTGTTTATATAGATAATATTACTATCTGAAAAGTCATTTATAGCCTTAAATTATTTTTTAATATTTATTTAGTTATTGACAAATTTCTTAAACCAATATATATATATATATATATATATATATATATCATAGTTGAATATAAAAATTATATCGGTGAATTATATTTATTAAGATTTTTTTAAAACATAATTATCACATTGAAGAACTTTACTACAAGTGTCTGCTCTGTGTTATTATAATTATTACAAACAATATAAAATCCATCATTGTTGTCAGGACTAGCAACCATGGCACATATGAAGGTAATCGGATTCGGCTTTGGCAATGTCGCCATTCTATTCTTCTTCACAACTATATTTTTTCCCGCCATTGGGATTTGAAGCCCCTCTATGGTAGACTTGTCTGGGATACGTCATTTCTATGAATCTATATCACATCATATAACTTATATTTTTAAGATTTATAGTCAGGATCTAATTATTTTATATTATACAATATACACAAAATCAAGATTATTATTTTCCTCGTATACGTTTATTCTCCTTCATGTATAATTTATACTCATTCCATGTATAGATTATTTCCATGCATATATCTACTCTACAGCTACAAATATGTACCATATTATTTGTGAAATATAATTTTTCAATTTATCTTCTTCATTGTATTATCAATTATGGCATCAGAGCCAGTAAGATCAATTTCCTCCAGCAAAATTCTCGCCAGCAACACTTTTTCTTCCAGCAACAAAATTCTCTTTCCAGCAACTTAGTTGTGTTTTCTTTGTTGTTTTCAGGTTGTTTTCTGTTTTCGATTTTTCAAAATGGGGAAAACGCATTTTTGAAAACAATTTTTTTTTTTGGGCTGAAAACACAAAATGATGTTTTAATCGTTTTGGATATTTTCTATGCAAAAATAGAAAAACGCGGAAAACGTTCCCATTTTCAAGTCTCCCATCTCTCTCTTCTGGAAGTGGTTGGAATCCTTCTTTTCCCTCGCCGGCTATGGATGCCCGTCTTTGCTGGTGGTCGAATGGAGATAAGCTGCAGTTCCTCGCGACGTGGTTGATGAAGGCGACCTATTCATCACTGAATCCGTTTGTCGTCAGTGAGTTTGCTGTGTGGAATTTTTGCTGTAGATTTTGATTTTCTATGTTGTTTGTTGTTATAATACCATGTATGGATGCGCCTTGCTGAGCTTGATCGACTTGTGAGGTGTAATTAACATAGGTAACAACTGGATTGGTCGAATTTGGTAGAAAACCATGCGTGAGTGGCTGTTTTTGGACAGTAATTGGCTTGATTTTGCTGTCATTTGGTGTTGTTGTTTGTGTAGGGTTGGTGGGGATTGATGAGGAAATGGTGTTGGTGCGAAAATCTGATGGTGACAGTGGTCGAAGAAGAGAAATGGTCGGTTTGTGAGGTTGAAGACGACAACTCATGGTGGCTGGAGAAGAGAAAATGACAATTTCAATTTTCAGAAAAGAACACGTTTTTAATTTTCACGTTTTAAAAAATATTTTTTCAAAAAGACAAAAAGAACGTACTTTCAACAATTTCAAAATAGACGCTCAAAGCACTCAAAACTCAAACGCAAAGAGAACAGCCCCTTAATTTTCTCATTCATTCACCATGACCACACTCAAATACCCAGTGATTATGGTATCTATTGTTCAAACACCTTTGGCCTCAAGTGTGATTTCTGGCCTCTCCGACACAAATTATCACCAATTTATGAAACTTTTTCAGCCCGACGCCAATAACTTCTCTGGTATCTCTATCTTGACCTTTAAAACTAAACTGCCATGGATTATAGATACTGGGGCTTCGGTCCATATATCATCTATCACCAATTTATCCATTTCTACTAATGTTTTTCCTCACTCACTATCCTTAACTCTACCATCTCAAACTTATTCCTCCAGTTGCACTACAAATCAGCTCCAAGGCTAATTCTGCCTCAATCTTATGGCATCTCCACCTAGGTTACCCTTCCATTTTTTGCATTCCAAAAATGTTATGTCCTTCAAATATGATTGACAATTGTGATAGTTGTATTCGAGGCAAACATACTCATACTCCCTTTAAGTTAGTTAAGAATAAAAGTGATTCTATATTTCATCGTGTTTATTGTGATATTTGGGGTGGCTATTCTATACCATCTACATCTGGTACACATTATTTCCTCACTGTTGCTGACAATTTTTCTCGTTTTACTTGGGTATACCTAATGTACTTTAAATTTGACATATTTTCTTGTCTCACCACCTTTATTAAAATGGTCAACACATAATTTAATTACTCTGTCAAACATATTCGTTCTAATAATGGTCAAGAATTTCTTTCTCATCGCATGCAAACATTTTTTCTTGAACATGGCATCATTCATGAACGAACTTGTGTTGAAACACCACAACAAAATGGTATCGCTAAACGAAAATATTGCCATCTCTTCAATGTAGCTCGGTGTCTTCATTTTCATGCCCATTTACCTATTTTCTTTTGGGGCGAATGCATACTCACTGTCACTTATCTAATCAATCACATCCCATCTTCCTCTCTCCACCACAAAACTCTTTATGAGCTCCTTTTTCGAAAGGGTCCAACATATGATCATCTCACGTGTTTGGATGCCTTTGTTACACACACACTTTGAAAATCCATTGTGATAAATTCTCACCTTATGCCACACCTTACATCTTTATCAGCTATACTCAAATCCCGCACATTTATTGCGTTTATGATTTGAACACAAAAACTATTTTTCTCTCTCATGATGTAGGCTTCGTGGAATCTGTTTTCCTTTTGGTACTATTACATCACCCTCTAGAACATCACCATCTCCTTCCTCACCTGACGACCAATGCTTCCTCGATATGCACTCTTCTTTCCCATCAACTAACATTGAGCCAAGTTCTGACTCCATTCCCCAAACATCAACCCCTCCCGCCATAGCACCGCTCGATCCATCCCTGTCCCCCAATTTCGTACTTCCTACGAATCTCTCGAAAGATCCCTCGAACTCGATCCACCCACATCCACATTACAAAGACCTCATCGCACCATCACTCATCCCACATACCTTCAGGATTACATTTGCTCGGACTTACCAATAGAGACTACACATTTGACACTTTCTTCTCAGTTTTTCTTAGGTACGGTTCATTCTTTACCCAATTTTCTCACTTATTGTTTCTTTAGCCCCAAACATCTTGCCTTTCTATCGTCTATCTCGAAAAACATCTAGGATCCTCTACTTTATTCTCAAGCTATCCTTGAGCCCCATTGGCGACAAGCAATAGCCTCTAAAATTCAAGCCTTGGAGGCTAACAAAACATGGTCCCTTGAAGCCCTTCATCCTGGTAGGAAGGCTATTGGTTGCAAATGGGTCTACAAAACAAAGTTACATTCTGATGGTTCCATCGAACGCTTTATTTAGCTGCCAAGGGTTTCACTCAGGTAGAGGGTCTTGACTATCATAATACTTTTGCACCTATGGCTAAACTTGTCACTATCCGTTGCCTTCTTGCTATATCTGCAACTAAACATTAGATCATACACTAGTTGGATGTTCATAATGCCTTCCTCCAGGGCGATCTCAATGAGGAAGTATACATGAGACCCCCTCTCCCCCCACCAGGGTATTGTCGTCAGGAGGAGACGTGTATACACTGTCTTTACAAGTCTCTCTATGGTCTTAAAAAGGTATCTCAGCAATGGTACTCGAAATTATCTCACACTCTCACTCTTGCAGGTTTTGGTCAATCTTTAGCTGATCATAGTCGTACGATTTTCACAGCTATTCTTATATATGTCAATAACATTTTGGTGGCTGGGAATGATCTATTTGCCATCACTTCCATCAAATCTCATCTTGCTCAAACATTCAAGATTAAAGATATCGGTGCTCTCAAGTATTTTCTTGGAATTGAAGTTGCTCGTTCTCCTACTGGCATTTTCATCAATCGACAAAAATATACTTTGGATATTCTCTCAGACTCTGGTCAACTATGGTCTAGCCCTGCCTATTTCCTAAGGAGCAGCATTTAAAACTTACTAACTTGGATGGTGACCTTTTGCCCGATCCTAGTTTATATCAAAGATTAATTGGTCGATTGATGTACTTGATCATTTCTCGATCGGATCTCACATTCGTCGTTAATGTTTTCAGTCAGCTCATGCATGTTTCTCGTGCACATCATCATCTTGCAGCTCTTCGTGTCCTCCGTTACTTGAAGACCACTCCTGGCTATGGTCTCTTCTTTTCATCCTCTTGCAGCCTTCAGCTCTCTGCTTTTTGTGGCTCTGATTGGGCTAGTCGTCCACTTACACGCCAATCCACCACTGGCTATATCATCAAGTTAGGTGATAGTCCACTTTCTTGGCGCACAATAAGGCAACCTACTGTCTCTCGCTCTTCAACTGAGGGTTAGTATCGTGCCATGGCTCTACTACTTGTAAACTTGTTTGGATTCGTCTTATCTTACACGGTCTCACTGTACCCACTTTCAGCTTGCCCTTCTTTACTGTGACTACCAGGCTGCTATTCACATTGCTTGAAATCCCATTTTTCATGAACACGCCAAACATATTGAATTGGGTTGCCACTTGGTTCGTGAAAAAATTCAATCTGGTCTACCCACTACCTCCTATGTCCCGGCATCTCAACAACAAGCTGATATTTTTGCTAAGCCCTTAGGATATGATCTATTTGTTTTCTTTCAATCTAAGTTGGGCATTACGGATCTCCATGCTCCAACTTGAGGGGGAGTATTACATGATATACACAAAATCAAGATTTTCATGCATATGTTTACTCTACAGCTACAAATATGTACCATATTCATAGTGAAATATAATTTTTCAATTTATCTTCATCCTCGTATTATTTTACTTAGTTAAAACAATTCATAATAGATACTTTGTAATCATTATTATAGTAGAAAACGAGTAGAGAAATTAATTTTTGCCATAAAAGAGTGTAAATTTTTCATGTACATGTGCAAATCCCCAAAGTTCATCCACAAAGTTGAAATATGGTCCATAGATCCACCTGAGCGCACCAACAACCATAAGAGAGTAAATGTATAGTATAGTCAAAAAGACTTTTGACTACATACTGAAGGGGATAAGTTGCTTCATGATTTAGTTTGATGAAAGCTCCTATTAACTATCCTTGACATTGAGTTAAAACCTTGTACAAATTAAACTTTCCGTTTTTACAATATCGTGATCTTCGGTTCTTTTAGAATGAGCAAAATGGAGGTGGTAGGAACACATTAAACATAGGTGAGGTCTCGAATTATCAATTCATCTATAATAAGTTTAGCACTAATGTAAAACATAGCAAGCATATATAACAATATAACGTTAGCATTATATTCCTAACTAATTGGTTTTATATGCATCATCTATTGTGTTAGTCAACATGGCGGTACAATTGGAACTTTGATTTGAGAAGATCACACATGTATGTTTGAAACTCATTTAGCCCTTGTTTGATGGGCTTTTTTTTTCAAGACTCTTTTTTCTATGTGCTCATTTTCAACCATACATTCATATAATAAAATATTATGCATGTAAATTCAAAAATTTCCTTACATTTTAACCACTTCGAAATATATTTTTCCTAAATAATGACCATCAAACAGAGGCTTTAATTATAATTAAAGAGAAAAATCAAGTGTTTATTATTGTGTTAAGTTACATCTCATCGATATAATAATAAAGAACTAGTTTATTCTGCTCTGAACTTGAAATATGTTTCGAAAATTGAAGGAAAGTTTACACCTATTTTTACTTTGCAAATCATGTCCTTTGATAGAGAAATCCTAATACTTGACCATAATAGATACAACCCTTGTCAATGTTTGTCTACCATTCTATAACTCCTTAAAAAAACAAAAAAACTAATTTTTAACCATACATTCTCACAATAAAATATTTTGCACATAAATTGAATTTTTTTTCCTACTTTCTAATGAGACATTCTCCAAAACTCAATATTCCAAAATTCATCTTCCTAAAAAACAACTCTTTTTTTAATGTGCATCAAACAAGGGCGCAAATATATTGGCTAAACTCCAATAGAATCGACTCGAGCAAAGTATGTTTGATATCAAGTAAATGCGTTATTTCCTAGAAAATATATCAAAGTTTTGCATGATAAATGTTATGAATCGAATCAAATTTGAAATCACTTTATTAAAAGCGGAACAGTTCCGATACCTATTTGTTAAGAGATTAAGACAATTATATGAAATAAAGATCACAAGAACACAAGAGAATAATCTGCAGAAGATGGATATTTTATTATATATGGAGAAAGAGAACAAAGATTACGTGTTTACAATATTTCTAACTTATAATGAGGTTAAAAAACCCAACTGAATTGTTGATAAGAGCCAAATATATATAAAGAACAATTAAAGTCCTAGAAGTAAAGTTGTAGATGAAATGGAATGCCCAAAAATTTTCTTATCTTGATCTCTTCAAATCCAACACAAGTTACAACTCCCAATAGGGCTTCCAAATAGAGCTTCAGCTAGAATTTGTCAAATAAACATCGAATGAGATTTCAAAAGCATTTTAAATAGAATTCCTTTTAGTACACACTTTAATTAGAACTCTCAATTATTTTCAACAAAGAATTCAGATCACACCCAAATTCTAACAATCTACACCTTGACACTAATTCTGTTGCAATGAACAAACTTAAAAAAATTCTCTGCCTAAAGACAAATTCCAATGCAAGGAATAAACTTGAACTCTTTAATGAAACACTCAAACGAACTTTTTCATCAACAATTTCAACTGAATATACTCTCCACCTCTGCTACCCCAACTAGGGCAAAAATGATCTAATGAACACCAAATAGGGCTGACACAAGTCTTGTAATAGAATCACAACTGAATGTATCAAAAGAAGGATCTTGCCTAAAATCAAATCCCTTAACCGCATTCAAAACATCAACAAAATCAGTAGAATTGCACCTATATGAAATCTTATGGCAAAAAATGAGTCTATTTCTAGCAAGTGAATAAGATGTCACCGTCAATAATGGTGGCAAAACAGATTTATCCATTCTTCAAAATTTAGTTGAGATGTATTCTTAAAAAAATCCACTGGATTTCTTAAAATATGCTGATTATTTCGAAGATTCGGTACACTAAAGGAAAGACATATAGCAAAACATGGGCTCCTTTACGAATCTTTGGGACTCCACCTTCAACAGTGCATCTGTACCCTTTTGAATCAAGAGTACTCAAGATGATAAGATTTCTCTTCGGGTCTGGAAGGTGTCTCACTGCATCAAGTGCTCTAATCGTCCCATCAAACATCTTTATTCTAATCCGACCAAAACCAGCTATTCGACAAAGCATATAATTATCAGTCATCACAACATCTTTTGTAACTTCTTCAGATGGTTGAAAAAATCCCGATTAGGCGACATATGAAAAGTGTAAGATGTATCCAATATCTAAGCCTCCTCAAATTTGGAGTTGTAGTCAAACATAAGTAAAAACTCTCGATCACTATGAAAAGTTTCAACAATGGCTTCACCTAAAATATATAATTTCTTTTTCTTCTAAAATGTTGCTGCCAAATTTTCTCTATTACTCAACTTATAGCAATCCTTAATTAAGTGCCCTGAATTCTTGCAATGAATTTTGAAGTTAGACCTTAATTTGCCTCTTGAACAATCACCATCAAGAACAATGCCATCTTCGTGAACCTCAACAATATGCTTCATCTTCTCATTTGAAAATAGAGCATCATAAGCTGCTTCAATTGTGAGATCAAGAATATATAAGATCATGTCTTTAAACAACAAATATGAAGCGGGCAAAAAATCACAACGAAATCAATCCCATATAAGTGAGCACCACTCGCCTCCTAATTTGCCACAAAAAAATCTTGTATCGCGATCCAATAGCATAACATCAAACTTCATAGTTGTCATCATGAAAAATCAAGTTGAGCTATTAACTTGATCAAAATCTTGATCTTCCCAAAAATTTCAAAACCAAAAGCTCTAATATCATTTGTTATGAATTAGACTATATTTGAAATCACTTTATTGAAAGCGGACTGTTCTAGTACCAATTTGTTATGAAAAGATAAGAGATTAAGACAATTATATGAAGTAAAGATCACAAGAATACAAGAAAAAATAATTTACAGAAGATGTAGATTTTATTATAATACGGAAAAAGAAAACAAAAATTATGTGTTTACAATGTTTCTAACTTATAACGAGGTTAAACAACCCAATTAAATTATAGAGAAAAGCCAAATATATATAGGGAATAATCTAAACTCCAAAAAAAGAGTTGTAGATGAAATAGAATGTCCAAAAGTTTCTCTGTTTTGATCTCTTCAAGTCCAATATAAATTACAACTTCCAATAGGGCTTCCAAATAAAAATTCAACTAGAATTCGTCAAATAGACATCAAACAAAATTCCAAAAGCATTCCAAATAGAATTTCTCTTAATGTGCACCTTAATTAGAACTCTCAATTATTTTCAACAAAGAATTCGGATCACGCCAAATTCTAACAATAAACACATGTTCTGTATTCTTCCTACACGTGCCTTGGCCCTCCACAATCATCTTCCATAACTAGAGATATTCCAAAATTTAAATGATTATTGCATATGTAGTTACATGGCTAAGTATCTCAATTGCCACTTGACTTTCTCAAAAGTTTCCTAATTGCCACTGAACTTTAGAATCTTTTTGAGTTGCCACTGAATTTTTCCAATGTTTCTCAATTGTCATTAAACTTGAAAAGTTCATGAAATTGCCACTGATTTTATGATAATATCATCCCAGCTCACATCCACCATTCACCGATTCAAATGTTAACTGAATATACAACATAGCAAATTAAATGACAAAAGGGTTAATATTTTTTATAACTTCATCATGTTTGCAAAACTTTAAGTGACAAGTGGCCAGGTATGGGTTAGAAAACATTTAGTAAGTTTAGTGACAACTCAAAAGATTCTAATGATCAATGTCCTTTGGATAACATTTAGCAAGGAAAAGTTCAGTAATCGATGTCCTTTAGATGATTCCAACAGTAGTGATCATTCGGAGATGGAACTCTGGTATTATCTCCTTTCCTACCTACCAAGAAATATTATAAAGTTAAAAATATACGTTAAATGTACATTACGATCTGCGATATGAGTTAGCAAAGATCTCAAAATAATAATCAGTATCTACTTAATAACATTTTAAACATGTCCAAGTTCATCAACTGCTTCATTTTGACATTGTATTCTATCAAGCACCTACTCAACATAGTCATAGCAAAAGATATCGAGAAATTGATTTTGATTGCATCCCCGCATCGTAATATCCACTGACCATCTTTGAAGACTATTGTCCTTCTAGATTTCCCATAATTTAAGCAAGAATTTCCTTCCATGACACAATTATTCTGCTATGTTAGTTTTCCTGCTACAAAAATATCCAATAACAATGTGTTATGAAAAGAGAAAACAACATTTACAAAAAGGGGACAATCTAATTTTAAAGACAAATAGTAACAAAAGTGCAAAATCTTCTCCGGCCATCAAATGTATGCCAAAGAGTGATAANTGATTTCATTTTGTATCTCAGATCTTCAAGTTTTTCACGAATGTACAATCAAGTAGAGATGGCAACCGACGAGTATCGGGCGGGTCGACCATTCCTTCAGGTATTTTTATGACCTTACCCTGCTCCTATACCTTGCCAAAGTGGGGCAAGAAAGGTCACTTGCCCCCCTTTTTTTTTCCTTCAATTTATTTTATGATCTCTTAGAAATGACAATAAATCTTTCATTTTTGGTTAATAAAAAACTTAACTTAAAATTAATTTTAAACATGACGGATATGAGAGTGGAACTGTGTTTCTCGTATTCGCTTCAGGGCGCTTTACCTGGTCAAATAGGTAATCCCCGCCCCCATTCGGAGTGGAATCGTACAAATATCGAGTTGAACGATTTTTTTTGCCATCTATAAATCAAAATTTATTTGAAGTAAAATATTGTTAACCCCTAATTCGTATTCTGCCCAATTTTCAAAAGGACATTCTGCGCTGATAAAAAGATAGTTTAACCATTCTAAAGTAGCCCATAAAAAAAAATAAAGGGCTTTTACCTGTGGGACATATTCTAGTGATACAAAGGACAAGAGTGAGGTATACTCAATTTTGTTGACAATTACAGTGTGAAGTGTGAGAGTTCGATTTCTAAAATATGAATTGAAACTATTCGAGGACACGAGTGTACAGTTCCCTGGTTCAACCTTTAATAAATAAAGGCCTTTTTCTAGCTCCAACTTGAACAAGTTCCTCGCACCGGTCTAAAATTTCACCTTCTTTTCTCAGTCACTCTCTCTGAAAATCTAAAAGATCCCAACAATGAACAGGTAAGCGAATAAATGTATGCATATAGGTATAAATTATCCTGAAATTTTAATTATACTTTGAATTTTCTCAGATTTGGGTTCAGATATTTACTGATGTAGAATTTTGTAAATTATATGATACAGTAGTTGTGTTTTTATCATTTTCGTGTGATTCTATACTATACTTATATGGGTTATGATTATTTTCTTAGAAATGAGAATCCTTTTGAAGAGTAATTGGAATGAAGAAAAAGTATGTGTTTTTAGTAGGGTTTTTAAGGTCATTGGATTCCTAGACGGGTTCTGAAACGGCTGTTTTTGTTTTTTGTTGTTTGATATTTGTTGTTTGATCTAAGCTAATACTTCTAAACGAACGAGTTGCATAGATGGAAATTTTAAGTAGATAGATAAAAGAGGTTGCATTTTGTGGTTCATATTTTAAATTGTGGATGCAAATTGACCAATTTACCTTTTTCATTCTTATTCTCGTTAATCTTGTGGAAATGGGAAATGATTACATCACATTACCAATTCTTGAAAATGCACAGTCTTTGTGTCTCTTTATGGTAGTAAGCACGCTTTCTTGCTTGAGTACAGACGTCCGGAAAGGGAGTAAAACACTTTAGTGCTTAAAAAGTCTAAATTGGGTTCGAGGCATTTTGCCTGCGAGGCAAGGTTTAAGTCTCAAAACAAACCAATAATCATTAAAGAAAAATTGTACTCATAATATAGCATAAACCATCTAAAATATTCATATTATAACATTTCAACAGTTGTCTTATTTGTGACTAGAAAATAAAATGGATCAATGAAGTAGGTAACAATAAATTAACAAAATGGTACATATCAAAAATAAATAAATAAATTAATTAATTAACAAAATAGTAATCGCTTAACTAGGCCACTAATATACAAATCGAACTAAAAGTCTAAAACAAAAGAAACAAATCTCAAACTAAAAGTCCAAAGCAAAACAGAAGCACACATACAACAACAAAAAAATATAAATGAAAGAGGAGTGAAATTACTCTCTCAGTTATCTACTTCCAAAAAGCTGAAACACTCGCATCTTGGCATAAGTCTAAAATAAATACATTTTGAAAATATTGTTAAGGCTGCTTAATCTTTTTGTTATGTATCGAACACAGGATAACTACAAGAAGGGTGGCTTTCAATATCCATGTCTTGAAATTTGCGCAGAGGACTTTATGTAGTGGTGCTGGTGCAAAATTACCAGGTTCAGATGGTGATCAAGTTAGTACTGTGATAACTCTACTTTTTCAACTTCCTGTGCAATCTGATGATAATAGAGCTCTTACTGTCATTCCAGTATTGATTCTTGAATTAGCACTTATATCATATAAGTGGATTCATTCTTCAAGTCCTTTTAGTTTTGTCTGTGAGATGGAAAGATAATCTTGCAAGCAAGGGGAAAAGGATCGTTGTATCCCCTGTTCTCATGATGGTTGGGAAAGATGTTGTGCTGTGATACTTCATATTCTGGAACCAGAAGCCGTTACGTTATGAAAATTTATTTTACTCTGCAAGGTAGAATTTTAGACAATACTGTGATGAAAGGAAAAAGGCTTATAAATCAAAACAGTCTAGGAAGACTAGTCCACTTGGGACTGTTCTACAGGCTGTGGTCAGTTTCCTGAGAATAAAAATGATTAAGCATCTTAGCCCTTTAGAATCTCTATGGGTGAATCTTCGATTCTGATTTTTCTTGCAATAATCAGTTTTTTTCCTTCTCCAAATTTTTTCACCAGTCATTGGAAAATTAATGTTTTGTGTTTTGATATTATTGCTTCCCTTTATTTCCTGTGACCATTTGCGTTGAAAAATCTGGGCAGCTAGAAGGATCATTGCTTTACACTATGCCTTCTAAGTAATCAGAATGGTCATGTGGACTCAAAAACCTGGATTGTTGGTTGATCATTGCTTCTTTTTAGCAGCCAAACTATGCCCGAAATAATTCTACCTTCCACTGTGTAATCCCCTTTTTATTATCTGTTCTGGTTTGTATTGTACTGCTGGGCCTCATCCCACACTTATTCATTGATTATTTGAAATGCTGGATTGTTTAAATAAGTTAATGTTAGCTGTTTTCAACCTTTTGGGTATTCTTGCATCTTAAATGCTTGCTGGCATTGGCATTAGCAGCCTGGAATTTTATAGAGCTGATTGTTGCCTTAATTCCTTACCAAAGTGCTTTATGCATGAATATTCGTTATTAAAGTGTTACTTGTTGCCTTCGTAGAGTCTCACAGGCAAGCACGAGTTCCCTAATAATGTGCCCATATATGATGTTGCAATTGTTGGTGGGGGCATGGTTGGCATGGCTCTAGCTTGCTCTTTAGGTAAATGCAGCTTTCTGTATTTGCTTTATCAAAAAATTCTCTCTGAATCTAGTGGAACCATGAGATTTATTTTTTGCCTCGAGTACTCACATAATTATGTTTTCGTATGAAACTTTCCATATTTTCTCTTGATTAAGTTTTCGAATATGTTGAAGGGAGCTTCTTCATTCTTATTTTGACTCTTCACTGCTAAACTGGACTGTGGACTGCTGTTGTTTACATTAGAAACTGTTTATGTTTCTCAAACAAATAACTGTTATGCATATGCCAAGTTATATCGTTTAATAGTTTCTCCACGCTTGCAGCAAGCATGCCATTGACGAAACAATTAAGCATTGCCATAATTGATAGCAATCCTGCATTGCTGAGTGGAGATAGAATCAATAAAGAGGATCCACCAGATCCAAGAGTGAGTACAGTCACACCAGCAACAATAGCTCTTTTTAAAGGTAATTCTTCTGCTCATTGTTTTGTAATTTTAATGACTCAGATATCTTTGTGTTACATGTATTAAGATGATTATATCCTTAAGGCCGTCACTATTATTCTGAAGTAGTAGTTACCAAAGTATGCTGGAAATGATTTACCCAAAATGAGAAAAGAAATAGGTGCACTATATATAGAACCTATACGGAGGTCAGATATCAGACAAATTGACATTGCATTTCTTTGCAAATTACCCCTTAACAGCAACTTGTAGCATTATACTATAAACTTCTTGGTATTGGCCTTTAAATAAAAGCACTCGACTTAAATGGTGTTGACTGGAGGTGTATAACTGACAGGGCCACCCAGGTGATACAGATAGCACACATTCTCCTCTGCAGAGAGTATTGGTATTTGGCGCATTAAAATTTTCTGAACACATTCTATATCCTGAAAAGAATTTTGCAAAACAAATAATAAATATAGATTACTTGATTTATCTCCTATATGTCTACTTGGACTGTTGACACATTTCCTTAGGGACTACATAACTATTATCGTATGAAGGTTTCAATAATTAGGTTTTAAAAGATACTGAATAATGTAATCAAGATTGTAGTGTCAGCTCATAGGGTTGTATGGTTTCATTGATGTAATGATGACAATATTTAGAGTTTGAATTAAATGCCATCATCTCATCATTATGTGCTTGATTGCTCAAGCTTTTATCACTTGCCAGCATCCACAGCATTTAACTTAAATAAGTATGAGAGAACAATCATGCATTTCATTCTTATATTGCTGAATATGTGAATTCTTGCACTTAGTTAAGCTGTGGCACTTTCACTTCCCAATGTTCAACCTGCATAGACAGAGAACTTCATTACTTGCTTTAAGAAAATAGTGAATAAACATATTTACTCTGAACTATGCAATTATGAAGGTTGAAGGTTACTCCTTTCAGGTGTGGGTGCCTGGCAATATATTGAGGAGCATCGACATGCTTATTTTGACAAGATGCAGGTAATTATATTTTGTATCTTTATGACTATTCTATGAAGCCTCAGATGTGGTCTCTTCAGTTAGTTCAATTCTACGTTAAACTCTTGTATCTTTTTATGTATGGATACATACTCACACACCGAGAAACTAAAAGGTTTCAAAAACTCTTTATACATAGCAGTGGTTAGCATATGCTGATACTTGCAATTCCTGTTGCGAAGAATCCATTCTTTGACTTAATAATCATTTTTCTTCCCTATTAAATTCATTTGCTGTAGGAATTGGTATGAGGGAATATTTTTTTTATGTGCACATCTTTTCAGAAATAGTTCTCTGAAGCATATGCAAACTAGATCAAGAATAATCAAGTGTTCTTCAGCTCTTTATTTTTTATGTGTGGAAGTTTATATCAAACAACTTCTCGGTGAGTGAAGTTCACAATAAAGTGTTTTTTAATATTTATGCGGTTCATCAAGGACCATCTCAAGAGTTATACTGCAAAGGCTCTAGTTCTGATTTTAGACCAACTTCTTCCTCTCAAGTTTAGCATCAACACTATTTCCATTACTTATAACTGATGCATTTAGCACTCTTCTTTAGAATTTTCCTGTGCCATCATAACCACCCAAGTTTAACTTCAATTAGTGCTACCTTAACCCAATCATGACTACCTTTTTTTTTTTTTTTGGCTTTCTTTTCTTTTACTGTCGATCCTTCCATCTCATCCAGTTACAGACTTACAGTTATGTAGTTGATCAAATCAAATAGTTAAATATTGTACATTATTTAATTTGAGTCCTTGGCATATTAACGTAGACGTAGAAGAAGGGAAAGAATGGGGAAGAGAGGGAGAAAGAGACAAAGAGGGGGAAGCAGAAAGAGGAGAGGAATCAGAGAGAGAAGCAGAAATTAGGAGAAGTATGATTGTATATTCAAATCTAACTATTACGAAGCATAAGCCCTCTTTATATAGGATTTAAACCAATATAATTTAAGTAGGAAACAACTAAAAAAATAGAAAATCTATAACGTAATATCCTAGATACTTCTCCTAAATTAAGATTCTAAACTTGAAATTCTTCATATAATATATCTAATAGGATCTCCATCACATACAGATCACTCAAAGATCTTCAGTTATGGAAAAACTAGCTCATTTGACAATCTGTAAATTTTTATCACAACCATTTTTATATAAAAATAGTTAAGAGGAGTAGCAGTGCTAAACTTTATACCAAAAGGAAAATAAAATATAATATTGATCTGATAAATTAAAATAATATTTACATGTTTATTGGAATTAAAATCTTAAAAAGCAAATTGAGCATAGATCTGCTTCTTCCATTACTCTATGTTACTTAATATTCACCAACTGATAAAAATAAGAACAAATGGACATTCTTGCCGGATGACCAATTACAATTATCCCTCTCGTTTCTTGTATGTATCATCTGGCTTGGGGCTTTCAGTAATGAAATTAAATTTAATTCCTTACTTTGGTTTTTCTTTCCATTGCTATATCTCATTTCATCTTTTCTCCGAGGTGATTAACCCTCCTTGAATTTCTTTTCCGCAAAATTTATAATAACTGGAGTTCTAGTAAAATATCCTCTAGTGGCTTATGTTAATTAAACATGATTGTTGATAATTGTGAGAACAAATTACTGCTGAACTTACAAATATGTTCTTGTAGGTCTGGGATTATACTGGTCTTGGATATACAAGGTACAATGCAAGAGACATTAATAAAGAAGTACTTGGGTAAGCACAATTACAGCAATATAACAATTCATTTTTGGTAATCGTGCAGCCCTTTCAGATGATTATTGTTTGGGATTTTGATTTAGGTGCGTAGTGGAGAATAAAGTGCTTCATAGATCTCTATTATCATGCGTACAGGTACTTGAATCTTGGGGCATTTCCACATTTTTATTTCCAACATGAAGCTAAACATGATTGTTTTCAACAAGTTGGGTGACATGTAAAGCTACATGCATGGTTGCATACGATTTGATTTTCTGGAACCTATTAGAAGAAGTAGCATTTGATCGAAGATAATGATAGAAAGGGATCATGTAGCCAACCCCTAGTTAACCAGAAACATCACTTCTCATTTTTCCTCGTGTAGTTTATTTGCTTTTTCTAAATTGAATAAGATCAAACGCTAGCATATGGTAGTTTTATTGTGTGTGGAAGGTGGTTTCACGTCCTTTTCCCAAGACTTGTCAATCTTTGGCTCCATATGAACCTGGGAGTCATAATTTTACCATTAATGTAAAAATGATAATCATGCTTTTGACAGAATTCAGCTCTCCAGAAGACAATACATCCTGTCAGGTTAAGCTCCATGATCTTACGTCCAAGTTCATCATCACATCATGGAGATTTAGCCAAACTGGAACTCAGTGATGGAAGTAGCCTGTATGCAAAATTGGTGGTAATTTTCAACATGTAACTTCAAGCTTGAAACTACTCTGGATGTACAGAAGGGAATGTTAATCTATTCCTTTTGGTCAGGAGCTGTTGAACGTCAATTTACATGTAACCGTGTCGATGTTTGCTTTGTCTGTGGTTCTTACCTTAGGTTGGAGCTGATGGGTCCAAATCACGTGTTAGGGAGTTAGCAGGAATCGATGCAACTGGATGGAAGTACCCCCAGAGTGCAGTCATATGTACTGTTGAGCATATGGAACAAAATCAATGTGCTTGGCAACGATTTCTCCCGAATGGTCCAATTGCACTTCTGCCTATTGGCAACAAGTTCAGCAACATTGTTTGGACTATGAAGCCTCATGAGTCCTCAGATCGCAAATCAATGACTGAGGTTGATTTTGTGAAAGAAGTAAACCATGCTTTGGACAGCGGATATGGTCCTCATCCTCAATCACAATTATTTGGGGGCGGAGATGTCTTTTCTTGGCTCCCAGCAAATATGACAAAGTCAGCTTATGAGAACTTCGAAGTTCCGCCCAAAGTTGTCAAATTAGCCTCTGAAAGAATGGCATTTCCATTGTCTCTAATGCACGCTAATCACTATGCATCAAAGCGTGTTGTCCTTATTGGTGATGCTGCACATACTGTCCATCCCTTGGCTGGGCAAGGAGTTAATATGGGATTTGGAGATGCATTTTCTCTCTCAAAAGTCGTTGCTGAAAGTATTGCCGTAGGATCTGACATTGGGGAGGTATGCAATGTTTTTTGCTGACTCTGCATTGTTCATTATGCTTGTTACATGGCTCAGATATTCCATTTATTTGTGAATTTTATAGTTATAATCAACTTTTCCTGTTGGAATCTCATAAAGAATATCCTTTGCATGCTAATCTAGCCCCTCAATTTGTAAATGAATTGCATCGGCATGTTAGCTTGGCAGATATCTAGACCTTATTCGTTTCAGTGTTCGAGCTGCCTGACTTCAAGTAAATATTGTGCCCCAGCTTTTCATAATATGAGATTTTGTCGTTAACCATTTTGGAATCCTAGTTTGAACATTTTGATATAATCAGCCTAGTCCAGGAATGAGATGATGTCCCTCAAATACAGATATGCATTATTTCTGCGAGTAAGAAAAAAGAAATTTAGCCGACTTAATATGCTACAAAACTTGATCTGGGTGGGATCTTCCCTTTCTCGTTTTTTCATTCAGAACTTGAGCAGAAAATTATAAAAATCTGAACCATATTCCGTTAGTAACAAAATTTGCTTCACTTATACTAAATTGTCCTTTTAGATGATTATGGCAACCATTGATCTCCATAGCTAACATTTGTCTCCAAGTTTTATTCTTCTACTTATTTTTTTATTATTTATTTATTTTGTGCTGGAATGGCTTTGATGCTTTTTGGTCGATATAATTAAATTGTTTTTCTGTGCGCTGACCTTGTTGAAGACAATTATTATGGGACGAACTTTAGAAATACCCAATACAAATAGTTGCATACCATGTAGAGAATACAAGATTCCCTAAATGAAGGTCTGTTACTAGTAATCCATCTTATGCTGTATATTAGTAGCATATATTTTCGAAGTAGGAGACTTCTATTCACTAATTCAGAACATTGCTACAGAGGAACTTTAACATGAATTTGATAAATTAAGGTGACATCAAACATAAAAATGCTGAGCATGTTTTATACTGTCAATTCCTTGTTCATGCTCGTGTTCAATCAGTTAAATATGGGCTGCTAGTCAATTGACGTTTTCTTTTACTGTTTTAGAAGTTGGAATCTGTATGCACAGCATTTGTATAACTTTGTTATTACTCACCATGGTATTTGGAATGTATTCCTCCAAAACTCTTTAGATGATCGATAAGTGAGAAATTTGCTGTGTCTGCACAGGTGTCCTTGCTAAGAAGATACGAATCAGAAAGGAAACCTGCTAATTTGACATTGATGGCTATCCTGGATGGTTTCCAGAAGGCCTATTCTGTTGATTTTGGACCTTTAAATGTATTACGCGCTGCCGCCTTACATGGTGCCCAATATATTTCGCCGTTGAAACGAAATATCATCGAGTATGCGTCGGGTGAACAGAGGTTTCCTCTTTTCTCATGATGTTTTATACGAGTTATTTAGGCATTCTCATTAGGACTTTTGTCCTCTTTCCTTTCATTTCAAAGAATTTCACAGTAACACTACGCTGTACACTTTAATGTGAAAAATAATGCGTGCATCGGTTTTTGGTTGCTTTCACTGAATCGGGAAGCTTGGGATTGGAGCGTCGGGTTCCAGACTTCGCCATCAAGAATGTATTTGAACAAACTCAAATCAACCTGTTAATAACATATAATTGAGAGAGCACAAAAGTAGCAACGGTGTACAGCAGAATGAAAAAAATTGTTAGCTTTCTGTCGTTCTCCAGTTTAACCTTATGTACAGTTATTGAGTCATTGTATTGACCAAGTCCTGTACTATTACAAGAAACCTATTTCAGAAACCAGCTAATAATAAAGGTTTTGTATTTTCGTATGTGTTTATGTTGACTCGATTTAAAGTAAAGTATCTCGCAGTACACGTGCCAGTACCCGGGAAGATAACCGACTAAGCACCTCCGGAAGCACTTGTGCAGAGAGTCCTGGCAACACTGGAAGCAGCTCTTGGATCACTAGAGGAACATTTACTCCCTGTGGAAGCAGAGAAAAAGTATTCACAAAAACGATAAAATCAAAATAAATTTGCCCGTCTGATCTGTTGAATGAATTCAAAATATTTACAGAAAATTATTTAAGTTACGAAACATGCTACATGTCCAGGGAGATTGTACATGTAGCATTACAGGGTGATAAACATTTTTTTTGTAACAGCCAATTCTTCTCTACCACCTGTCTCCCCTTCATCTAGTTATTTTCTTATGACTCGTGACAGGGTAGTGAGAACTCTTTCAGGAATCAATAATTGAAGCATAACTTTCTCCAAATAGTTTTAAGCGTTGATTCAGCAATGTTTCAAACGAAGCCAGATCAATAAAAGAAACCAATCTGGAGCACACTTCAGTATGTTTTATTGAACTTTTTTACATACTTTTAAGTTGCTACGTATAAGTTGCGCAAACAAAACAGCAATAGTTGCTTGCAAGCATAGATGTTTATAGGCTCTTTCCTAGGAGCCTTGTCGAAAACCTAAAACACTTGCACAAAGGCCAGAGGCATGCTTAACCATGTTCCATTCATAGACCAATAACGTAGGAGTTTATCCTATTCATCAGATCATTTTGTGGCCCAGCAGGGCATATGAACTGTAGCTATATATAAATCAACATATGCCAGACTTTGCATATTCAATAACATAAAAAAAAAAAGGAAAAAAAATAGCGCCCCATTCTTGTTATTAAAAATAAAGGGCATTTTTGAGTAGTGTATAATGTGTATTGATGAATAATGTTCAGTTAAAAAATAAAGAAATGTCATAGATTTGTGTGTAATATTATTTTATTGAAGAATATGTGGTTGAAGTGGGATCAAATTACTGTTAAAGAATGTATATTGATGAAAAAATGGAGCTCAAAGAAGGGCTAATTCTTGTTCCCAATATATTTGGAGTTGGCTACATGAATCCCTTTTGCCACTAAGTTAAATTCATTCTTAGACCTAGTAGAATATCTGATTGGTGTATATCTTTGGCTACTATAAGCCCATCATATTTTCGGTCTACCCCTCGCTCTTCTTTCTACTCAGATTGCCCCACTAATGAACATGAGACTCTTTGGTCTGTGCATACATGTCCGAATCACTATGTCGTTATTTACTTAATTTATTCTCAATCGGTGTTACCTCCACGTGGGAGTATATATTCAGTTTTTATACAATCCATTTTAGTACGACCACACATCTTGTCCAGAAGAAGTATTTCCTTTTTTTAAGACTACTTTTGCAGTCATCAACTATAAACTTGTAGGTACCTCTGTTGAAGCTGCTGTTCCAGATGCTAAGAATTCGATGATTTTCTGGACATTGTTCAGTATGACCTTGTCTTCCTCAGTAATTGTTGGAAGAAGAGCAGCAGGTCTAATAGGTCCCAGAGTAGGAACCATGCTGAAAAGTGGAGATACATTTCCAATTCCAAAAAATGCCATTATCTGTACCAACTGTTCCCTCGTAACAGCATCGATGCCCTTTACAATCTGTTCAGGATTCACCCCAAAATAACATCACTAGGAGTAGGACCACATAAGCATAGTAAACTTATCAATTTAATTCAATTTTTTATTTATGTTTGCAGTGCAACGTTGTCAATGTAAATGTGGGGAAGAAAATAACAATCAAAAACTAAAGAATTCAATAGACTTGTTGAATTGCAATGCTCCAAGTTTCTGATGAATTGCTTACATCTCTAAAGACAATATTTTTCGGATTAGCAAGATGCATACAATCTACATCTGAGTCTACCCACACACAAGGAGAATATATTTCTAGGCTATGGATATCTTACAATATCATGACCTAGTAACTTTAATTACAAATAACACCCATGCCACATCATAAAAAAATTCAGTAATTCATAAAATAAATATGTTCGTTGATCTCTTAAATTAAAGAGAGAAGCCAAACCGTCAAAACTCATGTTGTCATCTATAATTTAAACAGATCTTCAATTTGGAGGGAGGCAACCGCATGTGTGCAAAAGTGCAAAACACTCGCGCGCACAACACGAAGGCAGCCACAAAAGAAGTTGTCTGCCTTCCGCCAGAATATAAATTGTGGTTAGTTTGGATACCACTGAGTTACACAAACCATTCTCCAATATCACAGAATTAAAAGGAGATGGCAACACGAAAACCATGTTAAAGTGACTAAATCAGGTGAGTGGTCATCATAGTTCAAATTTTCTTAAGGTCTTCATCAAGAAAGCCCATTTTTACAGCAGTTTTGTTAGCCATCATAATTCCACTTTCTCCTAGCACATACAAATATAGATAGCTATAGATATTTTTTTCCCTCTTTTATTGGTCATCTATAGAGAGTTCTAAGACAAAAATTCAGGTACAGCAAGAAGGGTAAAATCAGTTGAAATATATTTGATTACCTAATAGTTACAAGGAACTACTTGCACTTTGGCCTTTTTGTAGTAAGCAAAAAATTAAATCTTGTGAATGATTGATACTAATGGCACTCCTAATGAATAGAAATAAAAGATTGCTATGAGTATAAATAGAAATATGGATGACAATTAAAAAAGAAGAATAGAGTTGCTCTAGAAATTAAATATACCTCATCTAAGAGAAACTCTCGAAAAAAATTCCCCTTTTCAGACAGTAAAAATACCAAGGCTGCTCTTGTTTGGATTGGCTGTGTTGGAAAAGCTAATGTTGGTGAACCATTCGTTGAAAATACTGTAGCCAAATTGTTGTTTTGACTTTGTAGAATGCCAAGCTCTGCCATCCTCCCATTCATACTTTCTCCACCTCCACTCTTCGCCGCATCAATGAAATTTTCAAAAGCTTGCATGACATCTATAAATCTTTCGGCATCAAATATTCCAGATTTCCCATATATTGTATATCGCAATGCAGTCCTTAGACGTGGGGATTCATCAGTCAATAGCCTCTAATATTGAGAAAAAGATCAAGAAAAAAAAATGAAGTGTCATGCCATAACTAGTTGTGCCGCCAACTTGAGCAAATAATTAATTTATAAACATATAGAATATTGTCAACTACTAGGAAAATCAATCATCAATAGTGCAATTGACTTTGAAACAGACAGAACTCTAAAATTACTAATATTAGCGCATAAGAAAAAGTATTGCTAAGTAAATGATCATTCAAACCCAACTGCAATTTGCACCAGTATCTGTATTATTCATATATGAATATTTAACTTTTTCTTCTTTTTATTTTACTTTTCATTGCTTATTTAAGGAGAGTTTCATTCCGTGATCAGTCTAATGGACTTCATTTACTATTCGTTTTCCATAGGCAATGTCAAAGGTAAAAAAATGCCAGCTTACTAAATTTTTTATTCCAAAGGTTTCTTTTATACATCAAATGACTAATGTAACCATGTAGCCTTATTAAACATGACTTTCACCATAGTCAGTTCTTCTTCCTCACATTACTCCCCCACCCCCCAGTGTCTCCAACTTCCCGCCTCACCCCTGATTTCCCCCCTGCATCCCAATCTTTGTCCCCTCACTACCTCTCATGCTCCCCCCCCCCCCGGGGGGGGCATGCAGGCGAAGAGGAAGGGAAGAGGCAGGATGTGGAATAAGGGGCTTGGATTGCAGGGTTGCGGATGGGTGAGGAAGAAGACCGTCAATGATAGTATGGAAGAAGATAAGGGAATAATGGGGCTATCAAATAAAAAGAGTCTCTTAAATTAGAAGGTGAGGCCTTTGTCTTTTTCTCTTTCCAACTTTGTCCTGGTAAAACATTGGCCTCTTCATAGTAAATATCTATATTTCCTTAAGTTCTACTTGCCTGTTGTATTTTGAGATTGACCAGATGAGAAAGCTGATACAGAAGTACTGCTTGAATCTTTTTCTCTTCCGACCTTTAAAAGTTCATGAGAGAGGTTGGGGAGAGAGTTCCTAATGTAATCTAGTCAGTGAAACAAATGAAACTTGAAAATACTTGAGAAATTTTTATATAGTTGTTGAAAGGAATCAACTTCCCACCATCAACTAGAAATATATCCACCTATACCGTAAAGGAAAAATTGGATTACAAATGATAAATATAAGTGAAAGAATTGCATTTCTGTACCTGGGCAATGTACGGATAGGCTTCATCTACAATGGCAAAATCAGGATTCCCCACTAAAGCTATGCCCTCCAGCACCCCAATTGCTCTGATTATAAGAGCAAAATAAGGCGGTATTCTGAATGGATAATCAAACGTTATTTGTGCTAAATCAGATGCCAGGTCCTGAAAGTTGATATTTTTTGCTCCCCCACCTTCAAGAGCCTGGTCAAAAACCTTGGCCAGCACTGGCAAAATGGGTTCCAAATTAACTCCTTCTGGAATGAAGTCGAGTTTGACAAAATCTTTGACTATAGCAGGGTAATCGCGATGAATAAGGTGAGCAATAGCTTCAATCATGCCATACTTTTTGTCATCTGTCAATTTTGTAACAAGACCTGCCACAAAAATCCTAATTACACACAAGAGAATTGATAAATGTACATAAATACATAATTCAAAATCTATAGCATCCAACTCTTCTACAAAACAGAAGTTAAAATAGTTGAATAAATTCACTATATCAATTGTTTCATCAGTCTCTGTACAAGTAGTATTAGTAGCGCCATTAAATGGCGTATAACTATCGCGTATCAAATTTTATGAGGGTATAATGGACAAACAAACACGTATTCAATTAAAAAAATAAAGAAAATGAGAAAAAAATAAAGATAAAAATCGGAAAAAAAAAATAAAGAAAAAGGAGAAAACCTCCACACCAGACATCAAGGCCCAACACCACCAGCAGGACTACACCAGTGCCAGCCACCCACCGCAGTCCAAGCACCAGAGCAGGATGCTATCAGTCACATCCCAACCACCAGAATATAACATAACTAAGAACACCACACCAAGAAGAGACTTGTTAACTAATTAAACAAGCCTCATTCAAGTACCAGTATTTTCCATCCAAACTGAAGGAGTCTTGAAGCCACACCAGTGTACGAGGTCTGTTGGCCATATAAATAACTCAATAACACATCCAAAATCAAGTTACATTGAAGTCACACCAAACCCTAGCTGGCTCGTGACAGCCCCTTCACTCAAACTCTGGTTTGCAGTCAGCTTTGTGTTATCACAGGAAATCTTCAGACGGTTTAATGACTAAATTTCGGATCTTATTAAACAACATTCATTCCAGGAATTGCAGAAAAACTTGCACAAAATATAAACAAGAGGCAGAGTTTTATTTTATTTTTTTCCTTTTGGGGATTTTTTAATTTTAATGTACCATCTTTAGCTTATTTTGTTTTATTTGTTTATTAAAGCTAATCAAAATCTAAGAGTACACCAACAGACTAATCTAAAAGTTCACAAGGCTTCTGAATTATAACAGAAATTTCATGCCATTAGATGCAAATTGAAAGGAAAAAAGAATGTATGAAACAATTTTCACCAGGAATCAGGTAATCTTGTAAACATATATAAATATATACTGATAAGAAAAGGTTAGTACTAGATTTTTTCAAAGTATGCTCTTATATATACATCATGTTACTTGAAGTGTGTCTAACTAGATCTGTGATTACCAAAATCCAGTATAGCTAGCTTCCCATCTGGAGTACGAATTAAATTTCCTGGATGTGGATCAGCATGGAAGAAGCCTGTGTCAAGTAACTGCAGATCCAAAGAAACATGAGTAAGATCAAACTGGTAATTTAACATAACATTAACAGATCCCGATGGTGCATCCTTTAGAACCTTTCTTTGCATTCAGTGTTCTGCATTAAGTTAAAATACGATGATAACATTTTCATCAATAATAAGTTGTTCAGTTGTGGAAGTGATTTTTATTACGTAGAAGTAAGATGTTAGTTAATTTATGTTAGACGTCTTATCAAAATATTGAAATGTGTTTATAATTCCACAATTCTGGCTATTTCCTATAATCCCTCCCTTCCTCACCCCCACCCAACCACCCAACCCCAATGTGTGCATGTGTGTTGGGGTCCAGGGTACAGTCAGCAAGCATCAAATGACTAAAGACAGCTGATGTGTTGTGTAAGCAGTAGCATGAACTAAACCAACCAAAAAAGCACACAACAACATTAGAAGGAAAACTAGCCAACGAGACAAGCCAAAGAAGAAAATATCTCACAGATGTTAGCCACATGTAAAAGCAGAAAACAAACGGTTGCTGAGAGCCATATAATGCCTATGGGTAGGCCAATTCTACAGGGCATTAAAGGATAAATTGAAGATAAAAATGCATCAACATATACCGATGTGTAAGCTTTCCATGAAATAATTACAATGCACATTACCTGCTTAAGGTAACATATCACTCCAACATTTACTAGTTCACCAACATCACTTTCAGTACTTTGTGATAGCTTCTCTCCTTCTATCCATCCCGTTGTAAGAACCTTCCTTGAAGTGTATTTGGGATATGTCTTTGGCACAACAACCTGAAAACTGGAACTTATTAAGTGCAATAAAACCACCGGTAAAGTTTTATTCCCCGAGATAGGGCTTTGTTAGACAAAACAGTACATTTCAGCAAATTTCACAGTCGATTACCTGAGGAAGGTCCTTCTTCATCATTTCAGCAAAAAGTGTTCCATTTTCTCCCTCATTAACATAATCGAGTTCCTCAAAGAAGCGAGCAGCCCATTCATCAACCAATCCAACAACATCGATGGATATCTTAAAAGAATTAGATGTCAGGTGGATTTATTACTCCATGCTAATTGCTTCTTCCACAGATAAATTAGATCAAGAAAAAGAACCAATAGGTACCTGCGGAAATTTGCGAAGAAAAAGTCCCAAGTGCCTTATAACATATAAATCAACTGTTACAGTCTCAAGGACAAAAGGCCTCTGTACTTTGACAGCTACCAGATCCCCATTTTCTTTTAGCCGGCCCTTATAGACCTGGCCGAGGGATGCTGTCATTAATTTTCAAAACATGGAAATAATATATGAGCTTCATGTACAAGAATAATATAGAGAAACAAAGCCTCTCTGAGAAGCTTTGAAAGTGAAAAAATAATGCACATCTGCAGTAATTGATTCTAATATGAATGGCAGCAGAAAGTCAATGGTCATTGAGATTACCAGCAGCTATGGGGGAGGAAGAAAGTTCAGAGTAAATTTTAGACCACGGTTGTCCAAGCTCCTCCTCAATAAGAGCCATAGCCACATCATCTGGAAATGATGGAACCTATGCCAATGATGAGACAAAAAGTCAGCAACAAAAGAACACTTCAGGATAAAAATTACACGTCCTTTAATGGATATAGTTAAGATCTCTTCCTCAGATTTTCTTTGCATTTCTTCGCTGTTAACAAACTAATTTACTCACAGCCAAATTGGAAATCAGATTTCTCAGACCTAAAAGGTTGAAAAAGATTATCTAAACATACTTGCTGTAAATAATTAAGAAAGAATGAAAGAAATAAAATCTACGGCCAGACAGATTGGGTTGTTAAATTAAAGATGATAATGGTATTTCAGAAAAAATGCAAGAAAAAGGTCAATCATGATCAGGTTGCTCCTAAGGCCAGGACACCTACATTTATAGGTGAATCCAAAGCTTCCAAAGAGCAAAAAGGATAAGGACCCCGAGATTGAGGAAATCAAAAGCTAAGTCATACATATAATGCCTACAATATAAATAAATGTGAAAGCAAAGAAACTTTCCCAACTTCATATAAATCATTTGTATAAAAGCAAGACTCAAAACAAAGGTGACTATGAGATCAAATAACTCCATCAATTAGAACAAGTAAAACAAAATAGTCTGAATATCATTGCATTCCTTTGCAAGTTTTGTGTTTTTCTCTTTGAAACTGAAGGTATCTCACAAAAATTTCAAAAGGCTTACGTGCTATGTAACATTTTTAAATCATTTCAAGACTTGTTATCAAAACAATATCAAATGTATGTCAATATTGATCAACGAGCTAACAGTGAGAGTCAGAGATAAAGGGGGGACAGAAAGGAAATGGCATGAGCAGAAATATAAACTTAAAGATCAAAATGTATAATCTCACCTTATCAGAGGAGGACAGAGAGGAAATGGCGTGAGCAGAAAAATATAAACTTAAGATCAAAATGTATAATCTCACCTTATCACAAAGCTTTTGCAGCTCAATCATTGCAGTAGGTGACAGTATATCAGGTCGAATGCTCAATGCTTGACCAAGTTTTATGTATGCTGGACCCAAGGAGGTAACTATCTCCCTCAGTTCGATGGCTCGAGCAACCTCATTCTAAATGTAGAAAGAAAGAATAAAGGGTCAGATGGCAAGTGAAATACCACGTATTATCACACCTGCAACTGTGACCTGATTAATTGTTTTAGTAATTAAAAACTCGTGCAAACAAATAAAGGGAAAACATGGCTGATTTAGCATATATGGAAAAAGAACACATTTCATAAAACACTGCGTATATAGATCATTCTACCTGCAACCCCTCTGTTGCTTAACTTTTTCCTGTCAGTCAACTGCAAAGGAAGTGTGTATGTTCTTTCTAGTTTATTGGATTCAAAATATTACCTGAATAACCCTTATTGCAGTCTCCTATTTATATTAATGTATTACTATGCCATTCAACGTAAAGTCATGAGGGAGCAAAGGAGGTTGAGGTCTCTATTTGATGATAGGTAAATTTTTTGTTTTTGCACTAAATTTGTTCGAAAAAAGGATTGCCAGCAAACTTTACTGCTATAGAACAAGGGCATCCGCAGTAAGCCCTGTTCAAAATCTTTGTCTCGCCAAAGGAAACATTTGAACTTATATGGACAAAGTTTTGAAGTTAATTCCAGATGAATAAGTAAATTGATAGATATGTCATATACAATTTCCAAATTACTTGGTCCCAATACTATCATGCAGTGGAGTATTTTTCCTCCCACTCTATTTTGGTATGCTTAGATGTAAGAGCTGTACATCACTCTCACTCTTGATGATTGGTAATGGGGAGGTGAAGCACAGCAAAGGAAAATGTCAGTACAATTATCACTGAATTCAAAATCCAAAGATTGTCATGACGATTGTCTTTATTCTATGTATGAGGCAGGCCAAATGGATACTCCAATTTAAGATGGACAAGAAGTGATGTGCACTGAAGGGACTGCTTCTGCTCTCTTCAGAAGGATTTCAATGTTAATTTAAGCCTAGATGTTATTGATATTCCTCTTCATCCCCTAGCATATATTGATTGACATGCCATAGTTCATTTTTGTGGGAGATAAACCTCGAGGTTGTTCCTAGGAGCATTAATTGACTAATTCAGTGCAGTTTTCCGAGGATTGAGATGCAATGAGCACTTCTCCTGTATGGCAGGTGGGAGAGCATTTTTGGTGAGAAAGCTACATGAGTAAAAGGGCTCTGGATGTTCATTAATTAACTGTATTTTATAAACCTCTCTACAAGATTTTTCCCTCCACTACTTTGTCCAATATCTTCCTCCCCTCAAGGACTCGTGGCCATCCTGTCTTCAAACCTCAACCACTAAAGTCTTGCTTCTCCAGTGGTTGGTATATTTTCTAGCTTCCAAACATTTCTCATTATCTACAATACAGTATCCACAATATCTACAAATGACACCTCTTGCCAATCAAGATATCTGACAGTAAAATAGAAGAGTTTTGCTTCATTGTTTAATAGATAAGACTTACCTCCACAATGTTTGAGCTCATATTGGACCTTCTTTCATCAAATTGTTTTTGAACTTTCAAGTTCAAGGGCCACATTTTAATGAGCAAACAAATATGCTTCTGTCATTACCATCTAAGTGGACGCATGGTACGTTTCATTTCACGTCTTTATGGTATAAAAATGACGTGGTCTTGCACGTTCAAAATTCTGGCATATCCAATAATGATAACCTAAGAAGCACGGATACGGATACGTAATTCGGGTACGATAC